AATTAAAGCATGTATTTTACAAGTATCAGTGAGTGTTTAACTACACACTGTTTCTTTCTTATATTGTTTATCTTTTTTAAAAAAAGCATAAAATCTAATCGTTTTGGTGAAATCTAAATGACTTTTACTTTTTGTCGCAAATCAACAGACACTTACACTTCATTTACATCTCTCTTATTTTCTGTCCCAAATTTAACTTACGTCTCGGTTTTGTCACACCGCACCAATATTCATGAAAAAAAAGAAGTAATGAATTACCTTAAAAAAGTCAGTAAAAATTATTTGTGCATAATGTACAGACACTTTAATTTGTTAAAGAAAAGTATACATTTTTATATTATCGGGAGAAAAAAAAATTATTTCCTCAATCAACTGTTGAAAAAATATTGGGTAAAATTTCAGTCTTGTTTACATCACTTTGTTCCTTTCAAAATTGTAGTTGTGTATTTACACAAAAAGAAAAATTGTGATGTATTTATGATCAATGTAGAACGGTCGTCTAAAAGTCTACCTTAACTCTTTCACTAGTTTAAATAATAATGTATACATATAAGTGTATATGTTATATTGAAAATTGACCAAGTCATAAACAGATTGAATGATAAATGGGCAACGTTAAAGTGGGTTTATCTATGTTTGTGTATATGTGCCTTTGTGTAAGAGACTCGTCGTTTTTAAGTGTGTCAGTTTCATAAAAATTAGGGAGAATCAGTGAAAATAAGAATAGTTTTTCTTTAGAATTATACTATCTTATGTACATATTCAAATAGATAGCAAAGTATTTGAATCCATTTCATTGTACACTTCCTTAAAGTATTTTAAATTAGATCATGACTCATTGTAAAATACTGATAGAGGAAACAGACAGTTACTAGTATTACAGCTTTTTAGAAAAAAAATTAAAACACTAACTTAGATCTGACTAACAAACTAATTTATCATTATTAATAGTAATCGTAGTAAGAGGTAACATAGTCATCATAACATAATTAAATGACTGGATGACATATACATTTTAATGTTAAAATCTCTGTAAAACATTTGAATTTAATTAAACAGTAATTTTGGTAAAACTAATGACAGGCTTCGGAATAGAATATCAATTTCAAACTAAAGAAAATGTTGTTTCTTTTGCGAAGCCTGTATATTGTTATTTTTATCCTGTATGGATAAGATGAAAGGGATCATTTTTACAAAGTCCTACAATAAAACGATATATACGTTCAGTGCTTCGTGATTTTTAATAATCATCCAGCTAGTTTTAGTCTTTGACATAATTTACCATCTTTACCACAATTATTTGTCCATAAATTAACTATGCATGAAATATAATTTTGCTGGTCCATGGTAATGATAGTTCGATTTTCAAAAACGTTGATTATTACCAAGAATAGGACTTATAGAGTCTGACTATTGTTGAAAAGTGAACATACAAACACATTTAATCACACTTCTTATTTATTCAGTTCTATTTGTTGTATCTTAAGTTGAAAGTGGTATTTTTTGTTTATCAAGTAGAAGTTATGACAAAACAAAGTAAGAACAAACAATACGTAGATAACAAGTTTGTTTTGTAGGCAAAGAAATTAAGTAAAAAATATATAATCTCATATTACGTATCTTAAAAAAATATTCGTACATTTCAAATATTCACATAACTGAAATATATATATCTTCAAAAGAGCCACTTTTCTGTAGTTCACGGATAATTGAACATAAAATGCTATTATTCCCCAACTTCTGTTTACACACTCCTAGTTAAATATGTGTTTTATTTATTTATTTATTTATATACATATCGTTTATAAATATTTACAAGCAGAGGATACTGTGATATGTTTAACTGTTTACAGACATAAACTAAAAAGAAAAAAATACTATACCACTAATCAGTTTACCATTTAATTCAATAATCATGAAACATTTGTTAGTATTTACTGTAAACTAAAACTTTGTCGAACAAATTAATGTAGCACTAATCCAAATGTATTTTCTAAATATATAATTAGCATTATGTTTATCATTGTGTTTTCTTTTTTATTTTAATCAGGGAACGCCGAATTGCTCCTTATTACAATACAACAATATTCGGAATTACGTTCTTTTCTTTTTATAAACAATTAACATTTTTAAAAATTATAAATAAGAAATAATTTCTCCATTTGAAATGAATACAAACATTTTCATCCGGCTTAGACTAGTACATATGTATTGCAATTAAATAAGTTAAATAACTATCTAATTAATAGAAAAACAAAACTGACTGACAACTTCATTAAATATTTTCTTTCATCTAATTAGTCAAATTTATCTCATTTATCAAAACTAATTTGTTCTCTATTTTCTATCCTCTAATTTTCCCAAACTTATAACCGATAACTTAAATGGTATCCCCCCTGCCCCCCCCAAACACTGTTGTTTACTGCAAAAATAAAGTGTTTCAATATAGGATAACATTGATTATAAATATTATTTTTATACCAAAGAAATCAATACGTCGCAAAAAACTAAGCATATCAACAATGAAATTAAATATTGGAATGATTCTGAACGAATATTGTTTGGTAAGAATTTATCAACCGAAATAAACTTTTAAATGTGTTGTCTTCTGTGTGCCAGATAGTTTGGTCTCTATTTTCTTTTTTTGAAATATGTATTGATGATGTCGCCTAGAAAAAAAAGAGAGTTTACGACTAAATTCTACGAATGAAAGAGTGAAACACGTTCAGAATTTTGCTTCTGCTCAACGAAAATTCTATTTATCAACCCAAATAAATTTAACTTTTAAATCCATTAAATTCTTCCATTGGGATTTAGATTCTTTTTTTTTAATTAGTAATTTTGTTGAAGTCTAAATTAAAAAGTAAACATATTTTTACATCACATGACTTGCAATAACCGTTTTTGGTATACAAAAGTAAAACTGATTAATATAAATTCTCAATCTTAACTCAAAAACCACAAATAAACCTCAGTCTACTTTGAATATTTAGGACACTAAATTTCATAGAACCGCTGACTTGAAGATAGCTAGTCAATTAGCGTGGTTAGAACGTGAGTTACACATGACAATTTAGCTTTAGCCTTGAAGCTGATTGGAATAAAAACATTTCGGAAAGGCTCTGCTAGAAGTACCAAACCAAGACATGGTATTTTTAGCATGCTACACACCACTCATCTCAACAGCAGTGTTCATATAGCTTACAGCATTCAGTATCAAAATATCTATGAAGACGTAATGATGATCATACATGATAGCCATTGTTTAATTTAATTTCTGGCTTCGATTCTATTTGATTTGTATACTTAACAATGATTCATTTTATGATATTAATCTAATCACAATTGTAATTAATACACAAAACTATTTCTCACATGCGTTTTCGGCTAACATTTCAATAAGAAATGTCCCTACTTATCATTCATGTTGAAACGTAAGTAATTATGAAGTGATATTTTTTCGGTTTATTCTCACTTAAGTCACTTAATCATTTTGTTTAAATAGTAAATCTTACTAAATTTTATCTTTATGGCAATTATTAGCAAATAACTCAAAGACTATTGAAATTATCTTTTCGTAACTACTGTATTCATGTAGTTTGCCATCTGTTTTAAAGTAAAAAGTTAATGTATGGAAATATTTTTTAAATGGACTACATAAAAAATTTAATTCAATAAAATTGGAAACAATTTAAAGACATTAATCATGTGACTAAGACAACATTTCTGTCACAGTTTTATCCACTCCAAAACTACTATATATTTATATATATATGATACTGATACACGATATGCTACATACTGACCCTACCACTGAATACTTAAGCGAGAACACAAGAGTAAGCGAGAAAGTGTTTTGGGCTACCGGATAAAATACACAGATACTCATTCATATATATACCACTCTAATTCTTAGGAAATTGATCCATTCCTTACCCAATGAAATGTACTTGTACTTTAGGTAACATCTGATTGCCATCGATTGACCTTCTCATTAGGCTACTTCTGATTGGCTCTCCATATTATATATATTATTTGAAACAAGTTAAAAAATTTTATAGACTCTCAATGAATTATCCCAAAATTGTCATTCTAAGATTCTAATAAACTAACTGTCAAAATACGAGAAAAGAAACATGACGGTTTCGAATACACATGAAAATTAATCAGCTAGGTTTGCAAACAGTTCTATACTTTTAAATATTAACAGGTATATATGTTGTGTGGAAATTCATTTCATAACAAAATTCCTATCCAAAAATCCAACCAACTGTGTTCCAACTGTATATTTCTATACTCATATTGATTACTAATTTACCTTCTTTATCTGTTCTGATGATGATTACAGTCTGTTGATAAACATTGTACAGTATGCTGTACAGCTGCTTGTTCCTTCACTTTAAACGTATGATTAAAATGAAAGATTTGCATTGTCTTTTAATACAATCCATAATATATAGTTATTGTTAAGTAACGTGGCTGTATAATATACTTAAGTAAGTTATGGTATGCTACTGTTCTTTGATTATATTGATGGTTAGAAATGATTTTCTCAGTGGTCTTTAGTCATTTTGGTGAGTTTAATTTACAAATAACAAGGTCATCTGAAAACAGATATTAGCTGGAACAAATAAAAAAAGTAGCCATACTTTTTAAATCCTCTATCTGAACATAGTAACATGGATTCTTAACATCCTAGTTAAAGTATCATAACCATTAACACAAAGCTATTTCAGTAGTGATAGATGATTTTTATTGTGGTTTAATTAACATATTAGATAGTTTCACCTAACAGACACAATATTAACCAATGACTGTCAACGCCTATTTGAGTTTCAAACAGAGAACTGACTGACATGTTTCTCTGACATACATTTGTTGGACCGATGTAACTTAATGAAAAAACATACGACGTTGTGTATTCAGAACTTATTAATGGTGTTTCGTAATGCTTTTTTTTAATTTTTCATCCTAGTTACCTCAGGAATGTTTGTAACAATATGACATCATTTGCCAAAGCATGTATAGACTTTTCTAACAATTTGAAAAATTTACGTTTTACTAAATCAAATGCTACAACCACTTCTTCCACGGTCACAGTGAACAATTCAACAGCTACAATGACAAAGTCATCAGTTGTTTTAAATTTTGAATCGGATACAATAAAAAACCCCGTGACAAATGAATATATTATTTCAGTCACTAACAGAATTGTAGCCAATAATTCTAAAACTAACAATCATCATTCTGTTATTAATTCAACTGAAGAAAAAAATCGGTTTGAGAAGAATCATAAGAACAGTGAACACTTTACAGATGATAAATGTACCCTTTGTAATAAACTGTTCTTTATCCCTAATAACATCACTGCTAGCGATACAAGTAGCACCAATAGCAATACTACTAGTATTAGTAGCACAAATCTTGGCGGTAGAATTTCAGATGAAAAAGAAGACTCATCATTATCGGGGAAGTCAGTGGTTGTAAAACATTCTGAAATAAGTTCCCTTGAAAACCCTACAATTTCTTCTAGTACAATAGCAATGACACAAAATAGAAAAAACATTATACCTAATGGATTTGTAAATAGTGATTCATTAAAAACTGTGATTTCAAATTATTCTGATTATCGATTATCGAATTCGAAGATCTCAAACTCGTTACCCAGTAGTCCAGTGCCAAGACATAGTTTTACAATGAAAAATAAGCTTTCATCAGATAGCAATGCTGCTAATGACAGACGTGCTCATAGTAATATAAATAGTTTGACAGACTCCCCATTCACATTCAAAGCTACACTTTCGCCGACTATGACACATCGTTTAGCTATTCTTGCACGTAACTGTAAAAACAGTATTGTTAGTAACAATAATAGTATCAATGGTAGCGATTCTACCGGCTATACATCCAATCGTTATTCAAATAATTCAATTTCATCGTCTTCTTCACCCTTATCATCTCATCGTGGGACAACAGTAGCTGCCATAAAACAAAGATTGGTAAATCAAGGACTACGAATTAATTTAAACATTCCAGTTAAGAAACTATCATGTACACGTTATCGAGATTATGTAAGACGTCAAAAAAGGGGTTGTCCACATACAATTGAATCATTATGGTTGAATAAGAATTTCATGAATAATATATTTGTTTATTTAACTGGGAATGAACTGATTAACTATTCAATCGTATGCCGTACATGGTATGAATTTATGTGTTTAAATGGTTTCCAGAATAAATTATGCTTTGTTTTAAACATCAAAAAATTAATTAGGGAAATAGAAAACAGTCACGAGGATTCAAAATCGAATCAATATGCAGACTATAAAGATCCAGTTATTATTTCAAACCATAGTGATCACATTCCATTACCAAATGATTTATTGTACAGTTATTTAGAAGACTCTATTCGAATTCGCATTGTATCCGCTATAAACAGACACCTGGAAACCATTAAAATTGTACAGTTAGTTGAGAGATTTAGTTCAGTATTGTATAATATACTAGAAATGCTATTAAACCCAAATCACAACGTAATTTTGACATCATTATCACAATCCTCCACTATAGAAACGTATTTCCCTCAGATAAATACAACAGTTGCAAACACCTTAACTAAAACTAAAACATTCAACAACCGAATCTTATTGACATCAAATGAAAATTATCCAACATGGATAAATGAAAAAGACGAGAATAATAACCCAGTGTTAAAGACAAATGATTTTATTAATTCATTCCAAAACCAAGTGAAAAAACAACAACAACAACAAAATGGTTTTATACAAGACAATAGTCTTATAACAGTAAACTATGCTATACAAAATAAATTATCATTAAATACTGATTCACCTTCAGCATCGAGTGATACATGGAAATTAAAAAAAATTAGTGATTCTAAAAACTCTATCTCTTCAAATCGCTCAAGTCTGGAGAACATTAATAGTAATTCATCATATACACATAAATTCACTCATATAATATTTAAATCATGTAGTATACTAGACCAATCATTGTCACGTTTAATAAATTTATTTCCTTCTTTAAAACAATTGGAATTTGAGTGTTGTAACGATTTTACTGAATTAGCATTTTGGTCTTGTCTTTTACCGAGCATTGAATGTTTAACAGTGTTTGATTGCATCAATGTTTCAGATGAAAGTATGAATGCGATTGGACATCTATTACCAGAATTAAAATGTTTTAAATTTCAAGCTTATCATATAACAGATGCAGCATTAAGTTATTTCAGTACAAAACAACGAATTAATATGCATACAATGGAATTGACTCAGTGTATGGATGTAACAAATCAAGGTATTATGACACTGGCCTATACACTGAATAACCTACAAGTTTTGAGTTTAAGTGGATGCAGCAAACTAACTGATGACGGTTTAGATGTGATATGTGAAAATCTAAAACGTTTAATATCATTGAATTTATCATGGTGCTCGAAGATCACTGACAGCGGATTAGAATGCGTGGCATGTGATTTAGTTCTGTTGAAAAAATTACTACTAGACAGGTGAGTTTCAGCAAATCGATGATGATAATATTCTCGTTTATTCTTTTTCTTATCACTTATACTGATACTTTTATTTCACTATGAATTATATAAGCAGATACCACACTTATGGAATATTTGGAAATGCAGTCTTAATACTATTATCAGTAGGTAGTAGAATTTTCCAAAAATTTAGCTGTATCCACAGTCGTCAGAAATAATCAAACCAGTGAAAAACAATTTTGAGGCATTATCATATTATATCTTCAGATGTCTTAGATCAAGTGAATAACTTTCACACTTTATTTAAACTCATAGGTCATTCTGAACTAAAAGTGGACTATTTAATAAACTTTTTAAATTCTTAGATTTATGTAAAACGATGGCAGTTCACATCTATCATTAAAGGCACTAACCAAATAATCACGATGCCTGTTACAGAAGTTAAACGTTATCAGACTGAGGTCGATCAAGACACTGAAGCGCATTTCGTGGGACTGTACTAGATTCTCAAAATGGATATCTTTGGAATTATTTTGCACCGCATCAAAAAACAAGAAGTTCAGCAAAGGAATCTCTGTTCAACGAATTTACCATCAAGCTATACTATCGCGCATATATATATGAGGAAACATTAACAATGAATAAACATTATCATGTAACGTAACATTTCTTTTAGAACAACATCCCAATCAGCTTAAAGATTGAAATGGCAACAAAATTTTTATCATTGTATTAGAATGATGAAGTATGTATTAATATAATAACTTATCGTTGATCGTTACCTGAATACAATGATTTAGGTATAAAACACAAGACAACTTTTAATAATGTAACCACTACTTCAAATCAAATGGTTTAAATAAAATACCAATAAATAGAATGATTATATTGAATAAGCGTGGCTCAATCGGGCGACTTTGAAAGTGTTTCGTTCTCTAAGCTGGATGGTTTCATCATAATAGAACTAGCATATTAATCATTTATGGAGAAATTCTAATAGCTCGCTTCTTTTTGAAGTATATGTAGATGACGTTTATAAAGACAATGAAAGCTTCACGATTCAACCAACCAGTCCAGAGAACTCAACACCTCCAAAATAACCAGGGTGAATCGCGTCAAACTTATACGATAGATGTGAGTTAAATATTATGAATTTCAAATAGCTTTATTGAATAAACGCTTATCGAAGTAAACTTGGGGTTCAATGAAACATAATTGAAATAATGTATTCAAGTGCTGTTTGCTGTATTTAACATAACGGTCCATCCAGAAGATCTGTTTTCGTATAATGAGAAACGACTAGGTCCATACGCTGGTACTCGTTATTGTTTCATGTCCAATTCATTTACCTAGTTCAATCTTGCAAACAAATTTTTGAATATGTCAGCATTTATTTAGTTTACTTTGTGTATTTAATATATTGGTCGGATTCCAAACTGTTTTCGAAAAATTGATGTTTTATAAATTTGGATTGTGATCAGAAGTAGAAGCCAGAATAAGTGTTTCATCCAATTTAGCATTCGTCAGCTGAATGTGCCTAAATTCCAGTGTTGATATGTACACTCAGACTCCGAAATGGAACCTACTATTTCAAATAGCAATGAGTTATACACCAAGCTACTGAATCCAGATATCCACCAACGTTTTTTAAAAATATAAACCCTTACAAATGAATTCAATTTAGTTAACATGAACAAGAAGTAATTATTTTAATCATTATTAAACAAGTAATAATCATGAAGGATATTGTGTATGGGTGTTTTTAGTGTAAAAGTAATGTATGATAATAAAATAATACATTTCTAATATCGTAGTGAATAGAAAATTGAATTTCTTATGCTTCACAGTTTAATGTTGGTGACTTCTTCAAAGAACAAATAAGTGAATTAAATTAAAACAATTTTGAACAGTAAAGAGAGACAAAGAATATTTAGTACAATCAAAATCGGTTTGATCATATCATTTCCGCCTAGATGATTCTGGATAAACTATTATTGTTTACTTTATTTAATATCAGTGAATGGAGAAAATTTTTTTTAAAAACTTCATTTTTTCTTACGATTTTTGCTTCTCTCAGTAGTATAACGCGTATGTTATAAGTAACTTATGACATTCTAATTGAATAAGGATTTCTAAAGATAACATTACTAAAAAATTAGGATCACTTTGAATTGAAATTTTCTCATAGCTGACTTGATTATAATTCTAAAGTTTAAGTATCCTCATTAATTGGAATTTAATTTTTTAGACGTTTCTAATCACTATCCCCATCAATGGCGGAGAGATACAAAAGAATATTTGACTTTACAAAGACGAAATGAATACTAGATAAAAGGGTTATCACATATTTAGTCAAATAACTACATGAATTCCGTATAAAAATATTCTTCTTAAATGAGAACAGATAAAATTTTATTTGTAATGTAACATTTAAACGAGAATAAGGCCAGTAGATAAACTGAAATAAATCTAAATGTAAACAGCATCAAGGTTTCGAAAATTATTATTAAGATATAAACACTGTATTCCAAATATGCATATATACCTTACGTACAAAAAGGGGTATTGTGGATATTATAGTAATTTTAATAGTTTAGATCATGAGTCAATTGAAGCTAGACCACCCCGGAATACCTGCAAGCACTGGACGGACGTTTCGTCCTAGCATGGAACTCCCCAGAAGTGCGCATCCACGACCCCACCTCGCGGGATTCGAACCCAGGACCTATCAGTCTCGCGCGGGCACTTAACCACTAGGCCACTGAGCCGGCATCCAACGGTGTTAATATCTAACTTAAACTAATCCACGAAATTCATTGACACATCCACCATCGTCTACAGTAAGTTACTCACTTAATTACGCCTGTTACTCCCAATGGAGCATAGAGCGCCAACCAGCATTCTCCAACCCATTCTGTCCTGAGCCTTCTTTTCTAGTTCCATCCAATTCTTGTTCATTTTTTTCATGTCTATTTCCATTTCTCGGCGTAATATGTTCTTTGGTCTTCCTCTTTTCCCTTGGCCTTGAGGACTCCATGTGAGAGCTTGTCTTGTGACGCATTTGGGTGCTTTCCTCAATATGTGTTCTATCCACTTCCAGCGCTTCTTCCTGATTTCTTCCTCCGCAGTAAGTTACTATCTCATAAAAGACCCGGTTGAACTCCACTGCTAACTCCTTCTCACTAGAACTCCAGGAAATACCTCTTAAAGCCATTCACTAGTGAGCATATGGCCGGATCGTGGATACGCACTGCTGAGTCCCACAATAGGACGAAACGGCCGTTCAGTGTTATTTAGTTATGAGATTTGCTTACATATGATAACCATCATCCTAAACACAGTATTCCTAAAATAAACATAATACTAACTCCAACTATACATGAGATAGGGTCTATGAACTCCGAGTCTCCCGACGTTTGAATCACTGTTAAACTACTGAAATGAAATTTCACTGAACACAGTTTATTAGAGTTTTGTCATTATTTATCCGTTAGTTTAATATTTTATTCATTATAAAATTATTGTTCTTATTTTCAAATCAAATTTCTTTTCAGAAAGATAATGTAATTTAGTGTTTTTTAGTAAGAAGAAATCAATCATTTATTGGTTGATTTAATATTTATCAAAGTCGGTATGATCATAGGAAAACGACATCTCTCATTTCTGTATTAATATGACATAGTGGAACGTCCAAAAGCATTCACTAAATATCAGGTAGTAATTATTACATAAAGTCAGTCATAAAAATAGTAGAGCATGACTCAACTATGAAGCACTTCGAGTTACCAAACTTCAAATCCACACAACAAGAAAACAGAAATATTTAGTAGAACGTCGCTAAAAATTCACTGAATGTTTGAACACTTTAAGACCTTAACATATGGAAATATTATGAAACTTAATAATATGATCTATTCAGTCACGTGAGTTTATTAGTCAACGCAGTATTTTACCAAAATCTACTATACTAATTCAAAAGCTACCTCCAAGTGTATCTTTGCATTTACGGAAAACTATATCTGAGAGACTTATACTCCATAACTGATTTCCTAGATTACAGAGAAGCTCATGAATCAGAAAATACTGTACTGAGTTACTCCTATCTAAAGAGCAGTTGTTTCATTTGTTTTGAAGAACATACTTCAGAGGACGCACCTCATGTCCATTGTCATTCTCTTGAAAAGTAGAATTAATGAGATTTTAAAATTCTAGCTTCGCGAAAGACTATGGTTATTATATTACTCATTGATATTACTAATCAAATATGCAGTATTTGATGTCAATTATTTTTAATATGCAATAGCCCTATTTTTACAAACCTTTAAACCTATCCACCATCTTTTAGTTGTTTTCTTTCATTTTCAAACAAGCCGTCAAACACGAATGCAAATGGTAGATGACCATATATTTCCTCACAAATATGAATGCGTTTGGTAAAACACCTAAGTATACCATACTGAGTTAATGCATAGTTTTTTTAAGAAACGAAGTTTAAACGAATGATAGTTTCATTAATGTGCACATTATTAAATACTTTAATCATATGGCTGATTATCACCGCCATAAGGTATTATAACGGTTTCAGGAGTAGTATGTCAAACAAGCCTCATACGGGTTATACCTTAAAACCTAACAGCTTTGTCTTTTCTGTTTTTATCCCCGTACTTTTATGAGTTACGTAATCATTCATTTCAATTACTGTTAGTTTGGAAGTTGGTTTTTATCTTTTCAAAAAATATTTGATAGTCATAGAAGCAATAGTAATGGTAATAATAATAATACACTCTAAAAAACAACCTGTAATAACTAACATGACCGATTTCTCGGCTTTATTACTAAATTTTATAACTTGCCACTTAAAATGAAGACATAAAATAAAATGAACCTAGTTATCCACTGTCTAATCACCACCACCTCAGAATGTGTCCTTCAAACTTTATTTCTTTGCACTTGAAATAAAAACAACCAAGTTTCATTTTACTTCACTGTTTAATGATTAGTAAATAAATCATATTAATTAATTCATACTGATATGTAAGCACAGTTCTTTGTAGGATTTAATATAAAGATCGTACAATTTCAAGACAGTTTTTTCCACGAACGATATTTGCTGTAGAACTATTTGAAAACTAGAGATAAATCGTTTGATAGTATTGTACTCATCATAAAATCTGAAGGTCCTTGGTATGATTACGTGTAAGTAGGGGATGCAAACTCCCAAGAAGATTCAAATTAGAACTGATCACTATGAAACCACTTCCTATGAATGTGGAAATCTTTGCATTTGAATCCTTATCCTCTTCAAACAACAATTTATTTACTCTTTCTTCAATAAGATTTGTGAAGTTGATTATTTCAAAGATATTGACTGTTATTACACATCAAAGACCACTGATATATAGTCAAAAGTCGTTATATTATGCTTTGACAAATGGAATAATCCATAGCTATTTTTAAACTATTGAAGTTGAAATCAAGTTGTATCGATGGTGAAAAGTCTTTAGAGAATGCCAGCAATATTGTATTAGACTAAATTACTCACTAACTAATTTATTAACGATTTTAGTCCAGTTTTAGGTGGAGTTTTGATCTCTGAGCTGGATGGTTTGGTCGTGAAGCTTCCACAATTTGCGCTGATGAAGCCACTCGGAAGAACGATGAAAGCCCCATGACCAAACCATTCAGCTCAGAGGACAACAATCCACCCAAACCATACACTTGGGCTACAAATCTTCTCAAACATCTCAAAATCTCAGTCCAGTCTCATTTTAAAAGGTTAAGTAGGGAAATAATAACCTTAAAAATCTAAATAAACGAGATACTAAAATAATGTAACGGGAAGCAGGCAGAATATGTTAACTGGGAGATGTATTTTCATTTTCCAAGGCAGAAATAAATCTGTTAAACTACGAATTACTATGCATTGCCTTCTCGAGGCGGGAGTGTTGTTTACGAAATTGAAAGAACGAAAAGCGAAAGTCCAGTTCTTAAATAGGGCTACTGGGTATGAAGGGTCTATCTAAGGGAGGTAGAAAACCCTGACTGCGAACAAATTGTTCACAGGAGCTCCAGGATCCTCAGGGGGGCAAATGGCATATGAACCTATTTCTGGTCACTGACTACCATGAAATTACAGTTCCTAAAGTTGCTCCACTGTCCGATGGACTAGACCTCTAGGTCAAAGGCTCCAACAGAGGCAATTAAGGATGAGTTCTACCACCGCTCAAGTGTTCTTCTACAGAAAGTGAGTTCGACAAATACTGTAGTTATAACCGGAGAATTAAAAGATCGGGTTAGGCTACTAGGCACAAAAAAGAATCGTTGGAATGACCGATGGGAACTTTTTGGTCACAGATCAGATAACAGTAACCGTCTACTGCAACTGTGTGCAGATCACAACCTGTTTCTGGCTAGCACTAACTACAGGCACAGTCACCACCGATGTGCCACCTGGTGTCCTCCCTTCTGATTCTCGAGCGTAGGCTCAGATTGATCACATCGCGATCAGCTAACGCTGGTGTGGTTGTGCACGGAACCGTCTCTCCTTTCAGAGTACCTATCTGGACTCCGATCATGCTATTGTTTGCGGTAATTTTATCCTGCGTTTCAGTGGCCAACAAATTCATCGTCCTAAACGCATCGATGTCAGAAAATTGGTTGCAGCTTCTGTTGCAACTAAATATTAAACCGAGCTAGGTTCACGGCTAGCTACCATCCCACCGAAAAGTATAGGTGAGAGTCGGCTACAATTGCATGACGCGATGAAAATAGTGAGTAAAATTACTTACCACTGGTTCTTTGTACAGATGGTGTCGACCTCCAGGTTAAGGAACTGACTTAGTTGTATAGCAATTAGAGAGATTTCCAACATTGTGGAATGAGTCGATAGTTGTCCCTATCTTTAAAAAGGGTTTACATCACCTATGCAACAACTATCAGGTACTAAGTCTACTTCCGATTGAGTCCAAAACACTGGACTCCGTCATACTTTGCAGATTGTTCAAAACCCGAGAAGCATTGACTCCTGAGGAGCAGCCTGCTTTTCGTCCTAGTCAAGATCCTATTACCCCCGCCAAGTGTGAGAACACCGTTATACTTGTTACAGACTAACAATCGTAGTGTTCTTGATATCAGGGCCGCCTTCAATTCGTTGGACAGGATTGTTCACTGGGATTGTGTATTGAAGAAAGGTGTGTCTGAGTTCACTATATACAAACATCTCAGGCAGAGTGAGAGCATACAACCACCTCTCCCTATTGTTGTGTTCGAGTAGTTGGGTCAATCTGGGTTGTCCAATCTCACCATTCCTCTTCAACTTTGCCATCGATGATTATCTGGAAACAGTTCTGATGGATGTAGGTAGTCGTGGTATGGATTTGTTACCTGGAGAAAAACTTCTCAACCTTGAGTATGCGGGTGATATTATCTTACTGTGCAACGATACAGAATCCATGCAACCCGCACTTAATCAGTTGGCAATCAGTATCCATAGGTATGGCATTCCCTTTGCACCTTCTAAGTCCAAGGTGCTTTTAAAATACTGGTAGGACCCTGAACCTTCACTCACTTTTGGTAGCCAGCAGATAGAAGTATTCGAGAAATTTGTGTAACTGGTTAGCTGCGTAAGTGATAGTGGTGGTTTGAATGATAAGATCAACTCACGTATAGTGAGAACCAGGACAGCTCATGTCAATCGGAACCAGCCCCCAAATGCCCTGGTACGGCCGAGGGTGGGAAGAGTTAGCTCTCCCTCTCGAAATGCTCTCACATGGCCACATGCATACAGCCAGTACCAGTGGAAGTCCTACTTACTGCCTTCTCGCACCAGGGGTGTTATTCACAAAATTGAGAGGACGAAAAGTGAATTTCCGGCTCTTTAACCGAGTTGGTGGACACGGAGAGTCCACCTAGGGGAGTCGGAAAACCATGATTCTAAACCAATGGTGCACATGCACTCCAGGATCCTGAAGGAACAAATGGCATATGAACCTATTGTTGGTTACTGAATACCATGGGGCTGCATCTCATAATGTTGCTCCACTGCCTTTTGGATCAGACCTTTAAGTCGAAGGCTCCGGGCATGGCCCCCTAAGGAAACCACCTGTTTCGATCTGGGCATCCGGGCAGCATCACAGCCCACACACAAATCAAGTGACCTGTGTTGTACATAAGTATTCAGTGCCTCTTAGTATCAATATTTATGTGTTCAAATAAATAAATCGGAACCACCTTTGGTGCCGTTGTGATATTAACCTGACTGTAAAAGGTAGGATCTACAACGCATCGGTGAGAGAAGTTCTGCTCTGTGCTTGTGAAACCTGGTCTCTCCGAGTTAAGGATGTTAAGTAACTCTGTGTTTGGTCATCGTTGACCTAGACAAATTTCCGACATTCAGCGGCAACACTATGCTAGTAATGTGGAGGTCCAACAGTGTGTATGAGCACAGTGATGTTAATTCAATTAATGTCACCATTTCGAAACATCGACTTCAGTGGCTTGGGCATGTCCTCCGAATGTTATCCCAGAGAATTCCATATCGTGGATTATTTGCCGATGCCGAGACTGGTTGGAAAAAGCAGAAAGGAGGTCAGTGTATAAAGCGATACCCTGATGTGAAAGACAGCTGTATAAGCTTCAAATATCTGTCCGTCACTCCCCATCTGGGGTTCTAGGGATAGTGCAACACAGTGGTCTGAAACGTTATTGGATATGGCTCAGAATAGAAGCTGGTAGCGATCCTGCTATAACCTTTTTATTTATTTTATATAAGTGAGAGGAACTTCTTTGGCTGAAAGAATCCTTCCTGGTTGTATTTCTTTTAACTAAACTGCTTCAACAGGCTCTCAGGTCAAGTTGTGAGCCATACGTGGAGATACTCGAACACTTCACTTCTACCTGAAGTTTTTGCTGATGATATTGACCAGAATGATGAAAGCTCTACAACCAAACCACTCAGCTCAGAGAACAAAACTCCACCAAAGCCATCCACCTGAGCTACAAATCTCCACCATCTCAAGTCCTCAAATAGATGGTTATCTATTATAATCAGGTCATAAGTCTAAGGGCTAATATTTTCTACACATAAACTGATGGTACTACGTCTAGTACATAGGAAGACCATAGCTTCGTGCTAGTGCATTACAAAATAGGACCGAACGGCTGCAAAATACTGCAAAGTTATTCATTTTTAACCATGTAACTTAGATGGTTGATAGTAGCTAGGATAATAAATACTTTCACAGACAAAAAATCGTGATAACAGAAATGACAATTGCAGAAATACCGGAGAAATAAACTCACGATTATTGTATAGGGGGCTTTGGGTTCAATTAAAGAGTCTGGATTACCATCACCGCACTCTAATGGGTCATTAGAAGTTGAAATGCTAGTTTTGTCACTATCTGGGTTTGGATCAGACCAAACTTCTTCAACTACACGAAATCTACAACGGAAATCGAAAGTGGAGACAGTTTTCACACCTCGTTAACTAAATTAAAATGAACTGAAACAGTGTTTTTAAATATACACACGGAAATATTAGGGTGAATTCTGTAAAATGGATTCAATGACATCAAGACCAAACAGAAGCGACTCGAAATCCTCGGAACTCAAATGGAATTATTATATATTTTGGTTGAAGTCCAGCTGGGATTAGATATGGTAGCTCGCGTTTTGCTTCAGAAATTAACGCCACCTATACACTTAAAACAGAGCGAGAAATCACTGTTCAGTTTCCGAACAACCTAAAGGTAAACTGCGCTAATTCTCAACATTAGCTGCGTAGTCACGTTCATGACTGAACTTCCTGTATCCAGGTTTCGGAAACGCTACAAATATGTCACCTCTTAGTTTGGCACAATACAGAAGGATATTTCATCCCAAGTAACGAGATAAAACGGGATTAGTAAAAATACTTTTATTCGCCAAAGCCACAAAAGCAACTGATTGAGGCCAGCCACACAAGACATTTAACTGGATAGTTTTCATTGTACTAATTCCGTAATCTCCGAACCTTATCGCTAACACTGGAAAGCCGTGGAATGACAAGGAAGATCTTTACTAGCTCTTTTGTCTGTGAAAAGGTACAACAGTAGGAAATTCTGATTATTTGTAGAAGACAGCTTACTGCCGCCAAAACACAGCATAACCAGCAGTACAACTCTATTCCTGGAGCTTATATATTTTACTTCTGAGCTTACCTCAACGAAAACGATCCACCTGATATGTGAGGACCTCAATCAACAAGCGTACAAGTCATATACCTAAGCTTTCAGTCATTCAGTCAGCAACAACGTAGAACTTCGTACGTACGTACATCAGTTCAAGTTGCCACACCACATTAGCACAGAGATACAACTGTCTATTCAAATCCCGTCGTGGTAGAGGTAATAAGAGTATAAGCAGTAATCGGGAAGATTAGGATTTGGAGATGTTATTTAAAGAGTATAACACAGTGAAATAAATTTTGGAAGAGAAAAAGGTATATGAAGAATACAGATTAGAATCAGGGAGAACACAAAGAGTGGATGCACCTGCGCCATTGCAAACGATTTTGAGCCATGTCATTCAGGGTCTCTAACCATCGGTTGCTATCATCTCGCGGTCCCCAACCAGGTAGTCTACACCTACCAAGATGACTCAGTTCACTTGTCAGTGACTTCATGGATTTGTGACATTTGTTGGTCTGTCCGCCCCTAGCTTTCTTCCAACCCACTCCTACACCAGAAAACATCGCACGTCAAGGCAGTCGGTCGTTGGGCATACGTAACACGTGTCCCAGCCATCTCAACTGATGAAGTTTCACCACTTCATCAATCGATTTGCCATCCTTACCTAGTACCCTTTTCCTAACTGCATTACTTACTCGGCGCTCCCAAGATATACGAGCAATGTTTCGAAGACACCTATGATCGAATACTAGTAACCTACGGATATCCTCTACTCTTACCGGCCACGTTTCACTGCCATAAAGTAGGACGGAACGAACTGCTGCACAATGAACACGTCCTTTGTTTGATAGACGGATATCTCGCCTACGCCATAAATGACGCAAGTTGGCAAAAGCTAGTCGATCCTTCTGTATCCGCGCTGAGATTTCGTCACACACCAGACCACGAGGGCTGATGAGACTTCGACACGTGCAACTACTTCACTCCCTATCACTAGTTCGGGTGTCGATGCAACCCAATCCTGAAGCAACATTTCGCATTTCGAGGGAGAGAATCGCATCCCGAACATACTTGCATTGTTGCTTAGAGTGGTCAGAAGACTCTGCATTTTGTCAGCGTCTTCACCAAATAGAACCATGTCATCGGTATATTCCAAGTCAACAAGTGAGTCTCCTGGTAGAAGTTCAACCCCTGGAAATTTAGATGAGGAAAGTGTTATCTCTAAAAGCACGTCAATGATAAAGTTAAACAAGAATGGAGAGAGTGGGCAACCCTGACGAACACCACTTGAGGTAATCAATTCTGATGACAGTTCGCCATAAGCTCTCACTCGACCAGTTATGTTCGAGTAGAGAGCCTTTATAAGGTTAATGTACTTCTTTCAGTGACAAACACTACCACAGAACCTCACGATCAACAGAGTCAAACGCCGCCTTAAGGTTAAGAAATACTACTATTATGGGGCGTCTGAATGTGTCTATGTTCGAGGACCTGACATAGTGTGAATATCTGGTCTATACAACCACGTTCAGGTCGAAAACCAGCCTAGTTTTATCTAGTCTGCTCTTCACGAGCTTTGGTTAGGCGTCGAAGTATTATTGAAGCTAATATTTTAGACACTATATTAGTCAAGTTGATTCCTCTGTGACTGTCACAAGAGGACTTTTGTCCTTTCTTATAGACCGGCACAATCAGTGATTGAGACCAGTCAGATAGGATTACGTCCAGTTTCCAGATTCTATCTAAGACCTCAGTCAATCTCACTGCTAATACTGGACTGCCATCCTTAAAAATTTCAAGGGTAAACCTGTCAAGGCCTGCTGCTCTCCCACGCCTCAGATTTCCTATGGCTTTTTCAACTTCGTAAAGAGTTGGAGGACTTACATCAACTTGCCATTTAGGTCGACTGAAGATCGTGGAAAACCGAATTTTGGCTGAAGGTCAGTTAAACTGATCCCTAAAAAGTTCTGCCCATCGATCAAATCTCCTGTATTGACAGTGAATAATATGTCGATCTTTTTTCGAGATAGTTTCGTTAACAGTTGGATTCTTAATACCGGTTTCCTTGACAAGTATGAACAGGTGTCTGTTGTTACCTATTGCCATTGCCTTTTCCATCTCTCTTGCTTTCGCTACCCACCACAGTTCGCGATCATTGCGTAGGTTTTTCACCAGCCTGCACTTCAACTGACTCCGCTCTTCATTATGTTCAGAGCCAGGTGGAATGAGTTTCCGAGCATCTATCAGTGAGATAGATGCTGCTGAGATCCAGTGTTGCTCACTAACCTTCTGGTTTACCTTACTAGCAGATATCACTGCTGTTTCCACAGCTTTTCGGATATCATTCCATGCTGCATCGGGGTGGGCATCACATACATGGCTGCCTAACTGTTTTCCTAGTTGTTCCTAAAATATACTCTTAGCTTGACTATCATTAAGTAGGCCCCTAAGAGGTTTACTTGCAGCGTCTTTCCTACGTCCAGTAAGACGCAGACAGATACGCGCTCGTACTAGAGCATGATCTGAATCTAAGCATGTGCTCCAGAATGAGCGACAGTCTCCTATCGAGCCCCTCCACCGGTGGCTGATGGCGATATGATCTAGTTGGGTCCAACGTTGGGATGAACTCGGGGTCGCCATGTCAAAAGATGTTTTTCTTACGCTTGAAGTTAGTATTTGCAAGGAACAGGCGATTATCTGAGCGTAGTTGCAACAGACAGTCGCCATTATCTGTTCTTTGAGCCACGACACCATAAGATCCACCCAGGTGTCTTTCCTTTTCGCTTAGTTTACCTACTTGAGCATTAAAGCCACCAGCCAATATTACTACATCAGAGCGCCTAACTTTTTGGCGGAGGTCAAAAGGCTTTCTGTAAAACTCATCTCTTATCTCATCTGAGCTGAAGTCAGTGGGAGAGTAGGCAGACGACGAGTGTTCCTATTATTTCGAGTTCCTGATGCTCCGTTTAGTCGGGCAGCGCACAAGCGAATTTTTACTGGGATCCAGTCTAAGAAAGATAGTTCTGCCCTAGGACTCAATACTATACCTATACCAGCGAGGCCATGGGAAGCAGTGTCAGGGCTTCCAGATACACGAAGTATGAATCGAGATGGTTCTTTATTATGATATGATGGGGTCAAATGAATGACGCTACTCGGATTCTGTATACACGTTTCGGAGACGCAGCATACATCGATGGCGTGATATTCTACAGTCCTAGCTAAGGAAGCCTGTTGTCTTATTTGGCACAGTGTTCGGACGTTCAAAGCTCCTACATGTGGTTTAGAGAGTGGTTTCAAGAGACCGAGAATAACGTTCCGCGTACTCGAATCGTTTGCATTAGCGGTGAAAGGTGATAAAGGAACGTGAGAGAGGTTAGTCGTGGAGATAAGAGGCTTATTAAGAGGTGTAGGAAGGGTTTGGTTGTGACCAACCTGCTCTTGTGTGCCGTTACGGGTATGAGGGCTGATGTCACTACCCGGCTGCCCACACTGTGGGAGGGTATTTCTTGAGGAACCTGAAAAGGAAGTTAGATTAATGTTGGTCTTAACGACCTGGGAGCGTGGCCTCAGAGCTAAAGGAACAAATGCTTGAGGCCGGTCACGCACAGACTTTTTGTGGGAAGTTTTTAACGTGTAAGCTCTGTTTTTCAAAAGGCCTTATCGTCGGAGACGGAAATCCGTGAGATAAGATGAGGTGCGACATCTTTAGGGTTGACCTTTTCTAACCCCTTCCTTTCTTGTGAGAAGGAAGCATCGCTACAGATGCTGGTTGCCCGAGGGAAACACTTTACTGCTGTCACGCCCCTCTACAATCAGCAGTACGACTTCGCCCTCAGACCTTGAGTTACTACTCTCAGTCTTACCGTTCTCCAATCGACCTGCTTGGCATGGTAGAACCTACAGGAACACATGTTCCAGCCAATGTAGCCCGGTTGGGTCATCACGATGGGCAAGTCAGACCACCACGTCAAGGTAACAGCTACAGTCGGGTTACCTAAGCTGAGTATTGACAAAATTCAAATGTAACCATCAGGCTTAGCTGAAAGCTGTAATCAGACGAGAACTGTTGAGGAATTCATATCTGTTCTTAGTATAACATCATGACAAACAACTGCATGTTTATATTCTCGACTTCGAATCCCATCACATAGGGGCTAATGATACTGTATAGATCTCTCAACCGAAGTGGATCAATTTTCGAATATGTTATGTATAAGACCTAATTTTCCAAATATACAGCCATATCTCCATAGAGAAGAGAACCAAGAACTAGAACCTAAAGGACGTTCACTCCATGGTCTGAAATCGTTTCATAAATGACATTAACTTATGGTGAAAGTAACCTTTAAATTTCAAGTATTTTATAAAAATGAAATATTCTTCGTGGTTTCCTCGTGAAATTCTCAGAAATAGAAATACTCTACCAAGATCGAAGATTATGAAGCAAAAGTCCAATAAGTTTGTGACATACCTAAAAATCAGGTGATTTGATCTGAAATCGATGGCCTTTACAGGTTATTTTTGTATTCACATCTTAATAAACTAACATCCACATAATCAGTGAACCATAATTACTTCAACAAAATAATAAACTGTAACAAACATGAATACTCACCGAATCGTATCATGTTTGTCAATGCGCAATTCAGCTGCTTCACCTTCGTACGCATACTCCCATATCCATGCATTTTGTTCATAGTCGCTAAGAAGAAGAGTGAATAACAAATTGATAGAATTTACTATCTTGAAGGTGAGCGTAGTTTTTCTGCAGGTATAAATACATCATCAAAAAAATTCAGTGACACACGTAAGCCAGCTTTGGAGAGAGATTTTACAATTCCAATAAGAATTTCATCAATAAACGGACGAAAGCAAACAATTCGAAAGCTCACTAATTAGCCAGCACTGATAGAGAAGGAAATTTTACTACCTGTAGTATAATAGGCACCATCGACATCTGATATAAAGCTTTCTTCAACTTTCAAAATGTCCCATAAAGAAATGCACAGACCAACTTTGTAAATAACCTGCAATTAGAAATATTTGAAAATTAACTTTGAGGAAGATTAGCTATAAAATGAAAAACGACCGGAAAGAAACAATTAAAATAACAAATATAAAGCAGTTTTACATATGCCGAATACTTAAACAAATGACACGAACTAGACTGTCAATCTCAAAGCATGAATGATAGAAACTAAACATGCCTTATTTGAATGAAACTATTAACGCGCGTATTTACATAAATCTCAATTCGGAAAACTTATAATTTTCAGTGATATTTAAGGTACACAAACCCACTATGACGGAACGTTCATTTAAGTGCCATGTGATGTGAGAATCGTTGTAACATAATCATAATGTGCCTTGTAGCAACTAACCTGTTTAACTTATAAAAGCCACATTGATACCATCTTAAAAAGCACTGATACTACGCACTCTGTCGTTTAAACTAGCATATGTAGGCGACGGAAAAGTGATCGACAGACGAGTATGCAAGCCAATCGGTGGTTGCTGTGTTGTGATTGATGAAATTTCAACTAACAAATCAATAGAGGTTATTCAGTTGTGTTAAATGAATGGACAAAGGGAGCACGAGAACCAGGCGAATGTGGTGTAGGCATTGGTGCTAAATAAAGGATCCTAGATGGAACAACATAACGAAGAGAAATGAGCTCAGAAACAAAGCAACAAAATTATTGAAGAACATCTACTTGATGCCGCCTTGTCTGTATACACATAAATTAGTGAAGTTCGAATGACGTTGAGCGGGTATAAAGCAGCTAGAATCCACGGCTCAGATTTATGCATCTAAAGTAACATTTCTACTTAGCTATAAACGTTAACACTAATGTACTTATTTCTACAAAATAAAAAATATGTATTGCTTACTTTGCTGCAGAAACGAGAATTAAGCTCCTGCTCCATTATTTCTTTCATATCTGAACCGATGTAATTAGGCTTAATTACAACAGTATCCTTCAAAGAAACAAGAACAAACATCTCACTAACAAGTAACGTCTACTTTAAACTAGCCACCATCAAACGTGATACAAAACCAACTACCAGTACACGAAGACTTCAATAAACTCAGCTTCACTTCATAGGAACGAATCCCGTGTCAGCCTAAGTAGATTCCACCCCTTATTTGATCCGAATGTTTTTAAACATTCACACAAATGAGGCTACTACATTCTGTTAAAATGGTTCAAAAGGTTGTGAACGGAATCGAAGAAACTTTCGTTTAACAGGCTTCCATGTCTAGTAGTAGTAGATCATCGATACCTCCAGGCAAGGACCTAGGTATATTAACGATAATAGAGAAAAAATAAATTGGTTAATCATAATAAAATATTGTCCTTTGTCCTTAAGAATAGGTCACGATTCTTCCTAAAGAACTCCTGGGAAGTCGCTTGGACTAGCTCAGCCGGCAGTGAATTCCAGCATTTGGCAACCCTTAAAGAGTAGAAGTTGCGTCTACAGTCCGTTCTGTTGTGTTGTTTCTCTAGTTTCTAGGTGTTACCCCTTGGGTTTGTATTGAAGCTAAACTTATGTAGTTGTTTAAGGAGATGTTCAGAAGCATTAAGAATCCGACAGAGAAAAACAATGCGTGGTGTGAACTATGAGAGTTTCGTGAAATCATCCTTTTATCTGGGATTGAGTCGTAGTTTTCATATCTTTTATGCCTTAGTTTGAAGTATTATCAGTAATGATTATGAGAGACGTTGTTACTGATTTCTGTTGAAATACTCTTTCGAATTTCGGACAGTGTTCGCGTAGGTTATTTACTTTGATTGTGGTGCATGTGAAATAAGTAAGGATCAAGTGGTCAGTTTTCTCCATCCAACTCCAAGTATATGTACTTGAAGGACGTTTTGTGACGAGTTAATAGTGATTTAGTGTTTTTTAACTTTCATAGAATTCCTGACAGTTGTGTAAGGTCAGTGATATGTCATGGCCTTAGCCAAGTCACGCGACAGTCGAGTCGCCGAGTATGGACCCACATCAAGGTTAAGGACGACCACCGAGCATTAATCAGTTGAACCTCATGAGGCAGCAGTCGCACTCGATTATACATATTATTACCAGACATTTCTGTAATGTCGTTATCTATACGGTCATTAAATTAGCCACAGTACCTGGGTACAACGTAGGGGTGGCCCATGCTACGTGCTAACCTCATGGTGTGACGCTGATGTAATCTATGGGGTCTCATCATTCCCGTACGGCTCAAACAGGCCCTAAATCATCGACACAGACCACCTACGTTGATGATTTATGGTTTTTAGTGTCTATTTTGCTACAGTGTTATTTCAAGAGTTAAAATGCGTGAAGCAATATACACCATATATTTAGAACTAGTTAGTTAAGAAGAATTGTGTCCCATGTTTTCTCTAGCTTAATTTGGTAGCCCACACTCGACAATAGCAATCGTGATTATGTCGGTTCATTATATGGATAGCATTCGGCAGTTTACATAATCAACCCAATTCTTCACATGCGATGTACCTGTAAGTCGCCCTCCAGGCATGGCTTCGCATTATAGTCCGTCTTGAGAATTCCGTATAACGGTAATGGTCTCCAGAGGTACTCTGTAGTGTTCAGGATGCTTTCACAAGGTCCTCCTGTCTACGCCATCGAATCCCTTCTTAAAATCAAAGAAGTTGATGTATACCAACAGGTCTCTCTCAACTAATTATTCAGTAACGATCCGAAGAGTCACGGTTTAGTGGATACCCTCAATAAATCAAGGTTGTCGGCCTGGAATATGATCGCCTGCTGAATCTTCTATTCAAGTTCAACAACGCTGTTGAAACCCTTGCCCAGTACTGATAAAAATTTAATTTCTTCGCAGTTTTTACACATGATAAGATCATTTGTTGATATCTTGATGTGGTATCATTCTTTGCAGTCTCTTGATACTCGTTCTTCCTCACAAATCCTTCCAAAGAAAATTCACAGCACCTTCGTGACCACCCCTTTATCTGACCCTAGTGCTTTGGTGGGTATGTTGCTTGATTCTGGTGCTTCATGCAGCTTGATTTTTCGGTATCCCAGTTAATTCGTTTAACTGTTGATGGGACAGCATCTATAAAAAGGTCTATGTATGGTGCTTCAATCTACAGTAGGTTCAGTTGATTTGGTCTGCGTAAGAGCTCTCTGCAGGGTTTTCATCTGTTCCGCTGAACTTGAGTCCCGTTAACTGGTTCTCCTTCCTTAACTACGACTGGTCTATACGCTCCTTAACATTTCCCCGCAAGCTTCTACGTTACACAACATACCTACTTCCTTAGGAGTTCCTCAAGAGGAAACATGACCTATTCTTAAGGACAAAGGATAATATCTTATTATGATTGACCAATTTCTTATTTCTCTATTGTCGTTAATGCACCAAGGTTCTTGCCTGGAGGTATCAATGATTTACTACTACTAGACATAGAAGCCCGTTAAGCGAAAGCTTCTTCTATCCAGTTGAAGATGCTACAGGTATTTGAAGTTTGACAACGCTTTAACCAGCAACACCTTCCATTATGAATCGCACCCATCAAGCGAAATCAAAAGACAGAAGTGAGGATGTTCGAAGATATATTTGATAGGCTATCAATATACCGAGGAATAACTTATCTAATCTGGCTAGCGATTGCAGAGGATGTTGAGCACGGCGTTTCCACTCGTGATCTGGTGCAGATGCATGACCGAGCACTTCCAGCTAGGTGAGTCCAATAAAACTAATGTGATCAGCATCCAATGTCGAAGACTTACAGAGCTATTGATTTTGGAAATTTATTTACCGCTACACTGTCCACAACCATTTGAAATCACATTCATGTAACATATATAGCACACACTAATGAAATAACCTTAGGCACCAATAGTACTTCTAAAGTTTCCTTAAGAGCGGACACGATATTCCAGACATAATTTTTCATCTATTCTTTTATCATTCCACATATTTCCTGACCATCATTGACCCTTCAGAGCGGTAGTGGTTCGCCATCTTGAGTTTGACCTTCGGAAACAAATATTAGCGGTAGACAGGAATTGACAGCGTAGCAATTGGCTACAAGTGTTTACTGTTTTTCTAAAACGAATAACTACTCATTGCACCTGTTCTCACTAAAACAAACGAAGTTTGATTATGAGTCTATCCAGGTTATCGTTGATTGCAAGTTGCAGGCGTGGACTTTCTGTTTCTCCCCACCGACTGAGTTCTACAGCACATCAAGGAGGAGCGGTTAATTGGCTTATCAAGAATTATCCGGTTACATTTCTTGGATCAGTAGTTTCGTTCGGCGTGGTCGTCATGATTGGTTACAGTATTGTTTGTGTGGCAAAGAATCCTGATCTTTACATCGCGATATACGATAGAGTGCCTCGAGATGAATTCTTTTTTAATAAAGACTATTTTGGGGCAAAAGTACCAGAGACCTCGAATATAGCCCCTCCTGTCCGAATGCACTATAACGGAGTCTTGGACCTACCATACGAAGATAAGCATGTTCATCCTCCAAAGGAATTGTAAATCGAAGCACCTTTTTCTGATGGGAACTTTGATTATTCTTGTGAACGGTGAGGTTAGTCATTAACTTTACTTAGTGTTCCAATGCTTTTCGAAAGATATTTAGGTGTAGTTTGTATTTTATCATAAAGTATAATGTTTCTGAGGATATCGTCTTGCTTTTTGACGTGGATCTTACAGGGATGAGATATTTAGTCTCACAATACAAGTATTGTGAAATTCTCCGAATTAACCAATAGCTAGTGAGTTAACACAGGTAACGTCCTTGAATAGTTTATTATTTAGTAAACTAAGAATTCGTTTGTGACATTTTCTTCATCGAACTATTAGTGGTATGTATAATAGTGTGAAGTCGAATGATTTATTTCACTAACTTTTCCAACTAATCTCAGCGTCGGGAAATGAAATGAAATGGTAGCCGTGTAAATGCGCTCCAGTCAGTTTGCCAAGCTTACAATAACTTCCTGCTCATAATCCTCGTATCCAAACACACGTTACTGAACCTTGGCATTATGTGTAGTGTTACAATATCAGATCATCCACTTGTAGATAAAAATACTAGGTACGATATCCCCAAAATCAGTTCAGAGAAGTAGCGTAACAATTCTATTTTAGTGCTATCTATGCGTTGCATATCCGACCTTCGATGTTCAGACGGACACCACGATGACTCCAAAGGCTTTCTGGACTGGTTTCATGTATAGGTCACAACACAGCTGCTTGCAAACATCTTGTGAGTTCAGGCCAGTGACAGCGTTTTAATGCTTCTGCACTTCGTGTAAATTAAACATGTGTTGGATGATGGTTATTGATTATTTAAATGTAGTTGGGATAATTTGCTTTCCATCATACAGCAATATGATATCAGACTCCAGAAATCCTGATTTTTATTAGGTCTAGATTTCCATGAACTTCCAAAGTGACATCGGTAGTAAAATTAAAAGCCAGTGACAAGATCAAGCAATACTGAATAACCATTTGTTTCCGGAGTCGAAAAAAACGTTTATATCCCTCAATGTATTGCTGTAGAGTTCTCAACATGTGAGAAACGCTTCATATAATTCATTAGCTTAGGAATAATCTCAGATTATTGTCTTGCTCAACAAGAGTGCAGTTCGTATAATAAGAAATTATAATTAAGTCTGTAGTACACTTGACAGTCGCTAATCATACGATAGTGTAAAGCCTTAATCAATAATTAAATTAATGCAGGCAATCATCCTCTCTCAATGGACAGGATCTGCACATGTTTTTAATGAGGAAGCAGACCGAGTTACTGATTGACATACGTAGCGAAGGATAGTGAAACACTTGGTACTCCCTCCCATATGCACCGACGATAGTGCATATAACGGTTTGATCGATGGTGCGGCCGAACTTCTTAGCAATTATCCGTCCAGTAATCCTAATTGGTTTGATATGAATCTCAAGGTGTTTGTTTGCTCTGTATGAAAGCTTGAGGAAATTCTGTCATCTAAAAATA